CTGCTATTTCGCGAGTATACTAGTATACTAGTTTATTCGTGACTGTTTATCTTATTCTGAATGCTATACATGTTCGCAGAATTTCCTTTTAGTTCACTTACAATATAGTGTTTTATATTATCAGTGTGTTTTTTTTCGAGAACAACATTTAAAACGTCCGGACACTAAACGAATATTCACACTTCAAAATACACCTCTTGTGTATAAGGCAGTTAAGGATGTTCGTAACTCTGTTTCAAAATAACGAGCTTTCTAAAAGGCGTTTATAAATTGATAGAATATAAATAACAGAACTGAAAAAGCAGAAAAATATGAAAGTGCAGTGCTTTTGTTTGTTGAAATAAAAGCCATTGAAAATTTGGCGGGAAATTAATCTCTCTAGACTTTTCACACATTTAACATTTGTACCTTTTTTCTTTCAAAACTATGAAAAAATAAAAAGGATTTTAACAGATTTTGTAAAATAGCTATTTTTAACTATATGTATTAAAATTATGAAAAGAAAAGTAGTGGTAAGCGGACAAAAGTTTTGATGATACTGCATATAGTAAAACCAAAAGATTCCAAATATCTGACAAAACTTAACAGTACCGAACATCTTTAGTTTTACTACAACAACAAAAAATACAATTACTCTTTTCAGTAGTAAGTTGTAAACATCTAGATTAAAATGGTACGGATGTCTAGACGCTACTGTGGTTCAAACTATCGGAGCTCACCTCAAATAAAAATGTATTACTAACTAAAGCTTGTGTGATTCTTGCAAAGGTGTATTACCACCATTTTGTTTCCCTATTAGTCTCAGTTAAATTAGCACTTGTTAAAAAAATGTGCAGAATTTATCTGTGTTTCAAATAAAGAAATACTTGGCATGGGTAAAGTTTTATCCTGTCCAGTACTATATACAAAATGTCACATAACATTTCATTGCATATAAGGAAATAACCATCACTGGAAGTTAAATTTTCACGCCTGTTTTTCCTATGTACAAGCTATACTAACCATGTAACCTCAAGTTTCCAAAATTTTACATAGAAATATAAAAAATAATGATGCTTTGAAGCACCCAAGATATATGTTTATGACTCAGATTTTTTTTACTGCGATGGAAAGAGGATTAATATCCTACAACTGTCAAATTCAGGGGAATATTTTTTATGGCTCTTTTCGTAAACAACCGGATGGGACGTACTATGATTTTGTGTTATTACACCAACAATGTAGATTATTCTATGCTATAAAACATAAGGTAGTGCATACGTTTGGAATCAATTTTTGTTCACTTACAATAGTTTATTTATCGATGTCTATATCTATCACATGGATCTCGGTTAAGCTAAAATTTCACCATGTGTATTTTGTTATTATCAAGCACACTAAAATTCTATATGAATTCTATATGTGAAAGGTGATCGCTCGGATCTACGATAAGAAATTTATACCCATCAGATGGTGTATTTATTTTTGAATGAAGCTTAAAAGAAAGATTGAAGTTTTTTCGGGGGTTTTGTTTTACATGAAAGGTTAATTTTAGTTTAATTTCTTTCATTCAATTTTGAATTTTATTTATTTTTTAATTCAATTCTATATATTTTTTTTGGTTTGTAAGGTTACACTCCCCTGTGCCACAGCGGGAATGGATTAACAGCAGCCGTAAATTGAACGTCCGTACTCAGTACAGAATTAGTTTAAACTGGACATTGAAGACTGTACTTTGACCTATAATGGTTTACTTTTACAAATTGTGACTTGGATGGAGAGTTGTCTCATTGGCACTCATGCCACATCTATCTTATATCTATTGAACCAGCATCCATGTGTATCTTTTTTTCTTTTAATATTTTGTCGATACTTCTATTGTCAATCATAACACATCTCCTTTTTATGTTTAGTAATTTGGAGTACTCTTAGATCGGAATTCTTTGTCTTTTGGCTTGAATTAATTGTTTTTTGAGGATATGAGTCCACCCTTGTCATTTGATTTTAAATCATGCCTTTGATTTCCTCTTTTGAATTACTTCACATTTTGTTATCATAAGGCCTTTCGCTGAAATGTATTTGTTTAAATCATCATCCCTCGTTATTTGCTTAATAGTGAATGACATACAACGTTGATGCATCCGATGCGCGTTTTTTGGGTCATCATGAAGGCGCAAACCTCAAAATTTAAAAGCTAAAAATGTAGAAATACTTGAATACTTGAGAAGCATTAATACCAAAGGAACCCCAAAATAATAGCCAATTCTACCTACGATCATATTTGTCTGAGGGAGTAGGAACCTTTGTTTCTCATTAAAAATTTCTAATAGATAATATAAGAAAACATGTTATAATCAAATAGGAAGATGTGGTATTATTGCCAATGAGGCAATTATCCACCAGAGACCAAATGACGTAGATGTTAGCGGCTATATGTCATCGAAAGGTCTTCAATAATGAGCAAAACCCATACCATCTGCAATTTATAATAGGTCCCGATATGATAACATGTCAAACAGTTGAAACGAGGATACCAATATATTATGTAAAAAAAAACACTAACTACGAAGCTGAAGATGCCCTCGGGGAATATCAGTCCATGAGCAGAAGTTGTCGAATCGTCATTCATGCTATATATCCTTTCTTTTAAAATGAATATTTCCGTCTTTAAACCTCTCTTACTATACCAAACAGTATCAGTAACTGATTGTCTTCTTCAGAACTAATTCAAAAGTTGCATATTGCATTTAGAGCAGGAATTGGAGGCATGTCTTTTAATAAGTATTTCTAAATGTGCGATCGACAGTAATATGGTTTTGCAGGACTTATTGATCAAAAAGTTTAAATTTGATTTGTTCTTGTTTATGCACAACAAATTTTATTTGTTCTTGTTTATGCACAACAAATTTAATTTGTACTTGTTTATGCACAACAAAACGAGCTTATACCTCAGAATGAAACATATTATGAAAGATGACCTAACAGTATAAAGAGTAGAATACAATGTAGTTACATTTTTGAAAAGGTTAGAATTCAGAAACGATTTCAATTTGTAGTGCAAATATAATAGTATGGTCAGTTATGGTTACAGCTCACTGAAAATCTCTAGGTTGGTTTCTAAATTGTTGTTCGAATCTGGAAAAAGAACTTGATTTCTCCAAATCGACAAATTATACGTTATGTTTTGCCTGAATGAAGCATTGTAGAATTTGTCAAAATTTACATAGTTTTTACCAGTTCTATCATAGAATTGAGACAACAGATCTTAGTGATTCTATGAGTTTATACTTCCGTTAATATTTTCTGATGATTTTATATATTTTGCTTCCTTTCAGTGATAAAATCTTAAGGTTTGGGTTACAAAATTCATTGTTTGTCGAAAGGGTACAAGTTTTCACACATATCTTCTTACTTGGCCCATCATATTTCTGAATTCAAAAACACAAATGATTGTGAATGAGAACATGAACACCTGAATGAAGTAATTTACAAATTGAATACCATCTCACATCGTTTCGGTAAAAGAGGAGCGAAAGATTTTGACAATATATCGTAGTAATTGTTTGATTTTTAACTGCCATTCATTTTTAATGGCTTTGACATGTTTTTTCTTACTTGGGCTATTCTTTTCTGGGTTGTGAATGAAGACGTGAAAACGTTCATGAACATTTGCATTTTGCACTTTTTTTGTGTAGACTGTAGGTTTACTAGGCGAAATAAATGCGTTAGTTGGACGTTACTTCTACTATTGTAAATAATCAAACATTCCGGATACAACCCTAAACTTTTAGATGTGAGTACACAACGGAAATAAGAATATTGATTTCTTTGGACAAAGAGTACTGATATTTGTAAGATGTAAATCGGAAATGTATATGTTTCCAGCGTAATGTGATCGTAGTCCAAATAATGTTAGTAGCATATATGTGCTTCTTCTGTACTAATTTCATCCAATGTTATTGTATGTACGTTATGTTATAACACTGATAGAGATAAAACGGGATTGCGATCTTAAAATATTATTTAGTCACGCCATGTGTCTATGCCAGGAACCTTGTTTGTGGTGTCTTGTTATATCTTAACATGCCCTAAGTCATATTTGGGAATCTGGTGTTGTTGGGGGTTGATTGTAAATTTTTAACGATTTCGTATTCGTAGACCTTGACCAATTTAGAAAAAAAACAGATGTAGAGTTTGACATATTGTCAAGACACCTGTCTATGCGTGAAGGCTATACGTTCACCTCTCACTCTATTTTCTTATTTGTGTCATTTGGTTGCTGTCTGAAATTTCCTTTTGTTTTTATGTATTATTTTAAACGAACATAAAATACCAGAATGCTCCAGCATCAGTGTCGTTGAAATATGATAAAATGTTGAAAGCTTGAAAATATGAAATATTCATTTGAATTAAAACAAGACAGAAGCTCCTAATAAGTTCAAACAGTTGGCACGGTATACAATTTCAGTTTTTCAATGTAGTTAAACTAAAAAAGGTCTTCATGAAAATAAAAAGGGGATTCATGATTTTAACTAATATGAATGATAAAATAGATCCAAAGCTAAATCATGCAGAGTAAATGAAGAATGTGTCCATGGGACACAGATGCCTCCGCTTGAAAAGATATATCAAATTCTAAAATTTTTCAATTTACAAAGTGACATTACTCAAAAAGAAAGGCGAAAGTGTCGCCACCAAAATTTAAACTTGATCTGTTTTTGGAGGTAATACGCATTGTGTATAAGTTTCATAACATTTCGTTGAGGCAAATTAAAGTTAGAGAACGGACGAGGGTAAAACTTAATGCCCCAACCGCCACGGCGGGTGCATTACAAAAGAGAGGTTTATTCAAAAGGAAGTGTAACTGAATATGTTATCGAAAAAGAAGGACAAATTCACAAAACTACACTTAGGGTTTGCTATGTGAAATTTTCTGCAGTATTTTATGATAATAACAGCAAAGGCATTTTTAATCTATATTCTTTATTTGAAATACATATTAAAGAATTCATATTTGACCAGCAACGTATATCACTCTTCTCGGACTCAAATTCAAATCTGTTCAATAACCTGAAAAGATTTTAAATTCAAAAATTAAATATATAAATCAATTATAAAGATAAACAGAAAATGTATTAACTGATCAAAATTCCTCTCATATATAATAAACCAAAAGTATATGGCAAAGAAAGGCAAAAGTAACTTGTAACAACTTTACATACATTCTTTTAAAAAAATACATTTAACGACTTACTGTTTACTGAAAGTCACTTCCGACGTGAAATGACAGTTTACTTTACACTGGTTAAAAAAGGATCTTTATGATTTTGCTTGAAGTTAGGGAGATCACTTACTACTGTTGTTTAAACTATTAATGTCAAATGATATGTTTCTATATACTTTTTCGTAAATGAAGTACACAAATGGTTATTTTGCTTCCCTTTGGTATCTTCCACACATTTTACAACCATATGCTGAAGAATCAATGACTTTTCATGTATTAGTAGGAAGAGCAATATATGTATTAGAGGGAGTAATAACCCCTATGCATGTCATTAAATCGGTTTAAACCAAGTGAACGTCAAAAACTAGAATATCAAGTTGACATTTGTCATTCACTTCTATTTTAAGAACATAAGTCTCTCATATGATCGTATGGTTTAAGTTTAATAGTAAGTTATGTTTGAAGTTTAATATTCTGAAAATTGAAAAGAATTCCGATTATTTGCATTTCAACTTTTTACTTATAAACAAGGGGAGAAAGTAAGATTTCCCAGGTCTAATATGTAAAAAGAAGGAATAAGTCATTCTCGTGTATAATGTGCAGAAATTACATTTAATTCAAATTAGCTTGCAAGAAAATGTTTTTGTTTTTTTATGAAACAGGGAGAAAAAACTTCCAGTTTATACTTTTAATATTGAAGCGGAGAAAAATCCAATAAGAACTGACATGACCGCTTCGAACCCAAAAGTATTTAGTTAATCGCTTATTAAAGTTGTGTCTTGTCGTAAATTACTATTTGATAAAACAAACTTTCATTGATAATCATAACAGTTTCTGATAATTATATCGAAAACAAGCAAATGTCAAAATTTTGACATTGACTTTGACCTTTAACCTATAGATTGGCTACGATATGACGTGTTTAGAGTTTAGGTATTTCCATTGGCCACCATTTTGGAAGTATTACTGGTTGATTTTTCACATTTGACCTACCACAGTGAAACAATGTCGAACGAGCAAGTCTGATGGTAAATATAAATAAGAAGACGTGGTATGAGTGCCAATGAGACAACTCTCCATCCAAGTCACAATATGTGTAAATAGTTAACAATTATAGGTCAAAGTACGGCTTTCAACATGGAGCCTTGGCTCACACCGAACAGCAAGCTATAAAGGGCCCCAAAATGACTAGTGTAAAACAATTCAAACAGGAAAACCAACAGTCTAATCTATATAAAAAAACGAGAAACACTTATGAACCACACCAACAAACACCAACCACTGAACAACAGGCTCCTGACTTAGGACAGGTGCATACAAATGCAGCAGGTTTAAACTTTTGAACAGGCACCAACCTTCACCCTAACCTGAAATAGTAGTGTAACATTACAACATAAAAAGACACACTATAAAATATTAATTGAAATGGATTAACTCGACAAAAAGGACATATAAACAAAAACCAGTAACATTCACTGAACGAATAAGTATGATCTATGACACATGTGACATAAATACAATATTAATAAAAAAAAAAGATGTAGAAAATGTCAAAAAGACAACTTTAACCTGGGACAAAATGGCATTAAATAAATTAACGTCCACAGGTAAATTTAAATATAATGATTTTATTTTTAGGAGTACGGAAACATTTTTTAAAAAATAAAAAATATAAAACTCCATTTTTTTCCAGGAAATTTTGTAAGCCAGTATCGCTTTTCTTTATCAATGACCCTCGAATTAAAAAAACTTAAAAAATGCCAAATAGAGGCCGAAATTGAAAAACATTGAGGACAAAAATTTCGAAAAGTTTTGCCAAATACAGCTTGGGTTTTCAATTCCTGATTAGAAAATCCTTAGTATTTCTAAAAAGAGGTCCTTTCTAAATCGCAGTGATCAATTACCCAAGGCTAAATGACATTTTCTAAAGTGTAGTGCGTAGTATAACAAGCTGAATCTTGCTGATATATGAAGGAATTTGTGCACGTAGACATCCAACATGGCGACAAAAAAAGGAAGTAACTCTAACTCAAACTTTGTAAAACGAAAACTATTTATACCTCAATTTACTGCTTATGGACAAAAAAGGTCTTATCAAACAACCCTATTTCTTTATAATTTACAGTCCATGGGTAACACTGATTTACCGCTATGTAAGAAAAGAAAAAGAGAAATAACCAATAGACTTTACTAGATTGCTTCGGTCAAAATTGTTGGAACAAATTTATTTTTTTTAAATATGTTTTGTCGACATGTTGATTTACCGGTTTTTTTTAAACAGAAGTATTAACACAAACAAAACAGTGTTCATGGTGATAACTCCATATGAAATAAATGCAACACAGTTTTAAAAGCAAGAGCGAAGACACTGTTTGCTTCCAGGAACCAAACTTATTTTTGACGGCAGACGAAAAAATAAATATTGTATAAAAAATACTCGAAGAACATTTTAACCTCATGATAGCTTACATAAAACTGATTCCTACAAACCATCGTGTATATGGACTTTTCGTTGAAAGAAGATAGCTAGCTACTTCTTTTTTTATGTAGTTACTTTCGTTTTCATTTGATAGCTTACTTTTGATTCGGTTGAGAGTTATGACTTTTCAATTTTTTATACTACACTTCTACAACTTCTATCAAACAAAAGTTTTCCTATTTAATTAAATGGTCGTTTGAAAAATCTGATTGCAAATGTATTTGCTGCAACTCTTATAAAGCCTTTTTCTCCTAATGAGAAATGTAAATATGCTAGATATACTTACTGAAAGTGTTTTAAGATGATTAAAGCTGAAAATGTTCTCCTTTAAAAATTTGATGTACGTTTTTGCAATAAACAGTTTATCGAGTTGTAGGTATTCCTATGTGCACCTATTGTGCCCCTTTGCAGACTTGTTCCTGTACTGTTATGAATCACAGTTTATGGCCAACCTCAGAAAAGACCCCTCTAAATATCATTTAATTGATAAATTCAACAATACTTAACCTTGATGATATTTTTCATTAAATAATCAAGAATTCTCTAAATGTACTGATGAAATTTACCCAAAGGAACTTACTTTAAATAAATGAAATATTAACAGCATTAAATGTCCTTTTCTAGATTTAGATATTTCACTTTTACACTGGAAAGTCTACAAAACTTAACGACAAAAGGGACACATTTTCGTTCCTATTGTTATTGACGGTGATGTTCCTATGCCACCGTCTCACGTTTACCAACTCGTTCGCTATGCCCGTGTCTGTAGTGTTGTTTTAGATTTCATTGAACGTAATCTATGTACCACTGGTAAAAAATTAAATCAGCAATTTCGTTACCACAATTTACCTATACCTTTACTTAATTCTTCCATAGATACAAAGATTTGCTTTAGAAGTTTAGATGTACCTGTAGAAAATCTTTTGCAAGCGGGAAAGTACATCCTTATTTATACGGTAATGTTGTTTCAAGAGCCCTGACATTAAGATTCGGGTAAACGTATCGATCCTATGAATAAACTAATTCTAAAAGATTACCAGTTCAACACTGTAACCAAATCTTTAAATATTATTTTATTATAGATATTGATGTTATTTATCAGTAAATTAAAACCATACTAGATATCACTGTTATACGCATATGCACATTCACGGTTCTACAATCTGTCAATACCTTTATATTTGGCATTGTACAAGGTAATGTTTTCTCTGACTGTTAAATGCGTTTTTTTTTTAAATCCATTGGATGTTGGATATGAACTCATTGATATTTTAGTCTTGATAGGTGATTTTTTTTATTAGTTGTAATTGGTTTTCAACTAGCTGTCGATATCAATACTTTGTGTTTTTTTTTTGGTTTTTTTGGGTGGGGGGATTTTTGTTAGTTGTTTTTCTGCTTTGAATCGATTGCATTAGCTCAACCCTTTTCAACTTATTTTGATAGTTTGTTCTTATGTTGTATTGTTACACCACTGCCCAGGGTAAGGGGAAGGGTTTTGCGCCAACGAACATTATGAATGTGGCTGTCCCAATTCAGGAGACTGTAATTCAGTGATTGTCGTGTGTTGCTGTATATTATATTTGATATTCGTATTCGCGAATAAATTGTCTTACATTTGTTATTTCGGGGCCTTTTCAAGCTTACTAAACTGTGCGGGTTTTGCTCATTGTTGAAGGCCGTACCGTGACACATAGGTGTTAACTTTAACACCATTTTGTCTCTTTTTGAGAGTTGTCTTATTGGCAATCATATAACATCTTCTTTTTTATACTTTATATTTATTCTAAAAACATCACGTTGCAATGTACTTAACTATGAAAAATGGGGATAAAAAGCTATCAAACTAAAATTCATGTATCAAAAATAATTATAGCTGATTTTACACTGATTCCGAAAATATTATGGTTGCAAGGACAAAAGCAACTATTTCCTGTTTGCACAAGATCACATCCGTTGACCTTGAACACAGTTATTTTAGGAGCAATATCACCTTAAAGAGTCATTGGATAGTTTAATCTATCTTGTTTGGTTTGGGAGGAATAATGATAATTAATAATGATCAATAATTAGATTATGACCTTAACCCGAATTATGAAATTCTTAATAACACATATTTACCCATTAATCTCAATTTACAGCTTTTGATTGATTGTTTACATCAGTATACTGCTTAGTAAATGAAGGAGAATTGGAAAAAAAATCAATATCAAAAGAAAAGGTATCTTACTTTCACCTATTCTAGTAAATCGATCCAATCATACTCGAAGTCATGGTACGAAATGTTATAAACCTCAATATGACAGTAAAAGTCACGTAACTCAGGGATGACAAACCAGAAAGTTTTCAAAATTGAAGTGAGATTCTTTTTGTCAATCTCAAAACAGTGTCGATTTTTTAGGACATCAATCAAATCATACTGGAGCAACTATGTGATATGTTAAAAATGTTTAATGAGTAAAAATCAGGAAAATTGAAGGGAAGCTTAATTTTAAAAATTCTAGCTCTTTTATTAAGAAATAGGAAAAAGTATCTAAGCAAAATTGAGTTATCGTAATCATTTGAGATAATGTCCAGTTTTCTAAGAATAAGCACCCATAGCTTTTCTTCCGTCAATCCTAATCGTGTCTGAAACTTTCAGGGAAATTGTTTAAAGCAAATGTGACTTATCATAGGAGTGTTGAAACACGAACGGAAGGACAGACAGACGAATAATACAGTATATTATAGTATGTCTTAGATAAAACAGGCTAAAAAAATCCGCTTTTATCTTTTTTTTTGTTACGATAGAGTAGCGATAGAAAGAAAAAACAGTATTTTTGAAACTGACTGTGTTATGGAAAATTATCAGGTCATATGGGTTTGATGTAGAAACATAAAAATAAGAAGAAATAGTATGATTCCTATGAGACAGCTCCTTACCAGATACCAAATATTGTAGAAGCAAACATAGATCACAAGTTGCCCTTAACAATGAGCATAAACCATAACGCATAACATGCTTTAACAAATGTAAAAAAATCAAAAGAAAAACCTAATGATCTGATTTATGTACAAAACATTAAAAAAAAAAAAATCCGATATGCAGCAACAAACGGCATTCACTAAATTACAGGCTCCTAATTTTGATAGACACATACAGAATATAGTGGTATAACAGCACAGCATAAGTTCAGAACAACTATAACAATCATTATTTTTTTATAAAAGCATGTAAACATAACGGACGGACTACCACAAGCAATTATCATCATTGTCTTTTGCGGGTCTGGAGTTTTGTGTATATGTTAGCATTTACAGACTATATCATGTATATGCTTATGCTTTATTATTTTATACTATCTTTTCGACAGTTGTAAATTGTGTTTTCCGTGTCATGCATTTAAGGGGTACCAAACACTTTGACTAAAAAAGATTTGTCTCGTTTAATTTTCACCAAATATTTGACAAATGTTTTCTTTGACCTGTTGACAAAATTAAAGACACTTGGATTTATTCATTGGATATATACATGATATAGCAGATTGACGAACAATAATTTTGATCATTGAGAAGCGTGATTTCTCTTTACTGATACAATGTGATTAAAACGTTCAGCTGATTTTAAGATTTAACTCCCTTAGGGATTCTGTATCCCGTTAAATGTTTAAATAATAAAACAAATAAAAAAATTTAATGAAGGCAACAAACATTATATACTTACAAAAATGTCTCTCGCAAATATAGTAATAGCCGGATTTGCAGCTCGTGTCAAACCATTTAGCGACACTACCAGCGAAAGAAACACAATTACTGCTATGTCCACTGGAACCAGCAGAACTGTCCCAAGCTTTAAAGGTAGCAAGTGACTGGTCTATACTCCATCGCCATTCTCCCTCAATTAAGTCAGTCAGACCTATCCAGTATCCGTGACTTTCTAAAATATACTAGAAAGTTCTTTAAAAAGTATTTTTAATTAAACGTTGTGAATTATTTTTCTTCTGCAGGCTTATTAAATTAGAGTAAATGCATATCATATATCGAATGAGAGATTTTCATATCTTTTAAAAACTCGTCTCTAGTTTAAAACCGCATGTTATCTTTTGGTTTTTGTATCGTTGTGTTGTTGTCTCATTGGCGAATATTCCACATGTCATTTGTTCATAATTATAACGATCCAAGCTTAATCTAGATGACATATTCTGCAAACATAGAAATTGAGTTCAAATATTAAAGAATTCTGTACGAAAGAATTTTCAATCAACTAAAAGTTACAGATAAAAAGATTGAAAGTAGAAATTTTTTGATTTTTTAAGACATTCAAGTGATTGATGACTGATTTTAAAAACTCACTTTTTTGTCTTTTTGAATGTAACCATTCATTCTCAGATGAATTGTCGATCTTTACAAGATATCCACCAAAATCTCTGCAAAGTCGCTGTAAAATATGGTACAATACATTTGTCAATAAAACATTCATAGTATACGGGGTACTAATAACGTTCTTCTTTATTTTGTTATTATATAAAAAACCATTACCTCGTAAACAAGTGATAAAATCAAAGACTAACAGGTATACCTTATTGCATAATCTACTTCAAATTGTCATAAAAAATACGACAATCCCAAAGCGCAAGTGCGAAGGGGAATACCGAAATGAAAGAAAAGGTAAAAAATCGTGAAAGGACTATAGTATTAAAAGAAATCTTCAAAATACACCAAATCAATTAACAATTATTATTGTAAAGTTCAATATCAAATAAAAAATAAACACATGAATTAATTATATATGATAATAACTAACCATAAAGGAGAAAACAGTCACGACGTTATGTGGTCTGCCTTTTATGTACTCTTTAATTTGTATTAGGTAGTCCATTGCTCAGCGGTGCACTCGATTATGTTATAAAGATATATTATTTAGTATTACTATCTAGAAAGCTGTTTTTTCATCTATTGTCATATACTAGAATATTTATTATTATTGCTGTACTAATTTTTCATGTTATAAATAATGGATTTGTTTTATTTTAACAAACAAAGTGGACTTTTATTTAGGCTCCTGCTGGCCATTGGTTTATTGTAAACAGGGATCCTTAGTTTGCATCCGCCGGAACTGTGGAAATTGTAAACAGGACAATTTTGGAATAAACAAGTCGCTATTTAAGGTTCATCATAACCTTTTGGCTAATATGGCCGTATTTACACCACAAATTTTACTCGGAGTACTGACAAACCTGTGCACCTGGAAAAGTTTTAAGGCATGGCAGGAACTAGATAATTAAATTTTAAATGCATTTCAAGTTTCAAAAAATTAAAAATTTTCCTGGATTTTGCTGTTCATTTTTTTTTCATTCCTGCAGAAGGTGCCAAAATAAACTATGTTTGGAAAGAGGTTTGAGAAGCTCCCCTCATATAATAAATGTTGTGAGTAGTTCTGATTTAAATGGACAATAGACATCTGCAAACAATAGGTGATTAAAACTGTGTAACTGAGTGGACCGTATCAAATGAAACGCATGTGTTAGTTTATTTTGCTATCTTCTGCAGACTGGAAAAAAATGCACATCAAAATCCAAGTAAGCTTATAAATTTCTGAAACACAGACTACATTGACTTTTATATATCTATATATTTCCTAAATGCATCAGTTTGTCTGTACTCAAAGTAGATTTTGTGGTGTAAACACAGCCATATGTTTTCAATTCCTTTTGATGAACCTTAAGAACAAACTAAAAATAGTTATATTACTTTTTTTGTTTTTTGTATGTTTTTAAAAAGAATCTTCCGGCTGTTGTTTTTTCAAAAAGTACCCCCAATTCAGATATTGATTTTTTCGGAAATCCCTATCCATACATATGTTTGATAGGAAGATCATCCCTATTTATATATTTCCAAGCTATCATACATACAATTGACAGTTTTACTAGATGCTAACGAAATAAATCATTCAATTTAATTAGATAACAAGATAGGTACATAGTTTTTTCAGACAACTTAACAGAAGATGAATAATTATGACCCATTGATATATATATATAAATGTAATTATAATTTGGTGTGACGGCATGGTAGCTAAATCTACCACACTTTACGACAAATGATTTACCTAGGTTCCAAGACAAATAAAAATGTTGTTGAATGGTATAAAAAAATGAAATGAAATATCATGTCGCCATACAAATTAGAGATTTTCGATTCAATAATTACAGCATGTCTTTTCGTTTATTTCTATTATAATGATGCAGTTGTTTCATTACCGTTTACCTATACACACATTGTCTACCTATATAAAATAGGCGAGTGACATTTTTCAAAAAGACACTTAGTTAACGTCTTTTATGCACCCACCGAACACACGGCCATATTATATATCATTCGAAAGCTTATTATCAGTTCTTTCTTTTTTGACCGGGCGTCAATAATTCGTAGGGTACAATTTTTGTTAAATCAAGGTCAAAAGTCCAGAACATTCCTAAATTTTGCAAGATTAAACAAAATGCCCTTTGCTGGTTCTTGTATGATATTATTTTCTAAAAATCACATAAACATAATAGAACAGAATATCATAATTCCGAATCAAATGCAAATTAAAATGTTAATTTCGCAATATTTACAGAAAATTGCATTTAAAAAATAAAACTTCAATTTGGATAAAATTGCACTAAAAGCAAAATATTTCTTTAGGTAACAATATTCATATGTCAAACATAAAATAAATGTATCATTTAATAGGTGGAGAGATTTTTTTAGCCATTTTAAACTGCAATTTATATAATATTGGTTAGGAATCAGCCTTCTAATGAAGCTTTTGCAGTTGCCCTTAATACCACCGTCCGCAAATATTGATCATTTTGCTTTTCATTGTTTAGATAACACATCGATTGTTGACAATTTTAGTATAAAATAATTTACAATATTTAAAAAAGGGTTATAAAAGTGCCTAAGGAATATATAAGGCATATACAGAAAAATATACTTTTCCGATGTCGAAGACATGTTAAGAAGTTTATTTTCGTTCAATATTCGAATGAAAACTGTTTGCACCACGCGCTTTACAATCACAAATCCGTCTCTTTTTTTATGTTAGCACATTATTACATGCTATATTAGTTCTTATGACTGAAAATCAATATCGCGGAAGACTGATTACACTTCCTGAGCAACTTCAATCACTACCAGTTTAAGGTAGTGTTTGTACATTTTGGTGTAATGTTCTGAGGACTGCTGTTTGTCACTTCTTTTAAAGCTTTGGTCATGTTATTTTTTATATGTGTTTATCGGAAATGTATGAATCATTTTGTCCCAAAGCCCATTTGTTTTTGTTCTTTCCATTCATATGTCCATCCATTAGTTTGTATGTTTTTTTATGCCAACTAATATCAGACACTTATTGCAGTTATGAGAAATGCACACCATTAGAAAACCAAACGAACCGATTATAACATGCAAGGCAATGTAATATAAAAAGAAAACTATTTTATTTATTCATGTCATTGTTTGTTTGGATAAAGTTTATGGGCTTTCTTTATAAAGTAGTTTTTATACAATACTTCAAACCAGCGTTCGTTATGCCCGTGTCTGGAGTGACGTTTTGGATTTCACTGAACGTAATCTATGTGTTACTGGTAAATTATTAAGTCAGGGATTTCGTAACCACATATTACTTAAAACCTTTACTAAATTCATCCATAGATACAAAGATTTGGTTTGCAAGTTTGGCTGTACCTGTAAAAAAATTATTTCAGACGGAATTCAAAATTTTACGGTGATGTTATTTACCGATCCCGGAAATTTATATACGATCCGGGTAAACTTATCAATCCTTTAAATAAACTTATTCTAAAAGGTTACCAATCCAACACTGTAATCAGATCGTTGAATATTGTTTTTTTTTTGGTATAAATATTGATTTTGTTATAAGTAAATTAAAATCATACTAAATAGTTTTGTTATACGCATATGCACTTTAACTGTACTACAATCTGTCGACACCTTTATTTTGGCATTGCACAAAGTCATTTTTTTCTCTGACTGTTAATGACGTCTTTACACTAAATCCATAGGATGTTGGCTGTGTACGGATTGATATTTTAGTCTTAGATACATGATTCTATTTATTAGTTGTTATTGCTGACTAGCTGTCAGGCACTCCGAGTAATCTCAGATTTGTACTTAGTGTCCTTTTTGTTGTTAGGGATGATGATGGATAAATACCCTGCCACGTCCAGTCTGTGTTTATGTTTGATGTTGTTCTGCATTTTATCGATCTTATGAGTTAAGTCTTTTTCAGCTGATTTTTATAGTTTGTTCTTATGCTGTGCTGTTACACCACAGTTCCAGATAAGCGGAGGGTTGCGCGCTCACAAATATGTTTAACCCCGCCACATTCTTTTTGTGCCTGTCCCAAATCAGGAGCCTGTAGTTCAATGGTTGTCGTTGGTTCATGTCTGTCATACTTGTTTTTCGTTTTTTGTTTTGTTATAAATTAGGTCGTAAGTTTTCTCAGTTGAATTGTTTTATATTTTTCATGTCGGGGCCTTTTATAGCCGACTATACGGTATGAGTTTTTTCTCATTGTTGAAGCCCGTACGGTTGCCTATAATTGCTTACACCCACTTTATTTGAACTCTGGTGGATAGTTGTTTCATTGGCAGTCATACCTCATCTCCTTAATTTTATATAAGTTTGGCAACCGATTTATTTACACGACCTTTGTGATTAGAAAAATAATGCAAATATAATTAACCTCGTTCATCTCTAGTATGAAAATAAAGTGTGGAAATCGTCATAACACTGCTGCCAGGTCTTCAACAGAGGACTTAACACAGCAATTTGAAAAGAGTTATGTTTTGTCAGAGGGAGCTTACTTTTACAAAACGTTCTTGTGATGATTGGTTAAATTGTTGGTGCGAGACCTATCCAGTAATTTATTTCTTTATAGCTATTTATTCTACATGTAATAATTTATCTATTAAGGAAGTCTAATTATAACTACAATTATTGCGAATTGGCAAGAATTTTCAAATCAGATGATATAGAATAAACGCCTAATAGATACCAGTTTTAAAATGTTGTACGACGGACGCGCGTTTTTGTCTACAAAAGACACATCAGTGACGCCCAAATAAAAAAGTTAAAAAGGCCAAATAAAGTACAAAGTTGAAGAGCATTAAGAACCGAAAATTCGAAAGGTTATGCTAAATACAACATGCAACTGCATGTTATTGCAACATGTCAACGTTTTACAAGACAATAACGTTTAGGTAGGGTTTCCTACTTCAGACAGACACAAAAAAACATTTTTAGGGTCTAGAATATTATAGTTTTTACTTGTTTTGTCAATACACAATGCAGTTTCTAATTTCTAATTTTAAATTTTCTAATTTGTGTAAGAGAAATGTTTGAATTCATCTTTTCGTTATTCAACTTACTAAC